CGCAGTGGGCTGCACAACAACCGACGGCTCACCAGTACTTCCGCTCGGCGTTGAGCGATTATGGATTGCACGCCAAAAAAGTTATGGTGAGTTCACAAAATAACTTGCACAATCTTCGATCCACTATACATGTTGATTTACATTACGATTAACATCCCGTGTCGTTGTAATGGACTGCAGGCCCATCCAACAATGGCAATCCCAGCTGATGGAGGGCCACACTCCTCAAGGCTGGCCCATTTCGTGCGGGCTACGCCTGATAGCTACGAGAGGCCTTGTTTCTCAAATGTTGCCATGTCGTGCGAGGGAGGCAAGGTGGAATTTGCCAAGTTGATGCTGCTGTTCCATTGCAAGAGAAACGGCGTAACGCATGACCTTCCGTACGTCAGGTGCTACTGTATGGCCCCGTCAGGTGCTACCGTTTCAGGTGCTTTTATCCACCCCTCTTCCCTCCTTTCCCTCTTACACTATCCTCCCTGCCTTCCATCGTGCTCCTCTTCCCCACATGTGCTGCCAATATGCACATGGCATTATGCCATGCCACACCATGCCATGCCCCACTAACGCACCATGCCACGCATGCCATACCCCTGCATGCAAATGCATGTCACCAGAACCACCCACCACCACCACCACTGCCACCAGTAGCACGGAAGCATTGAGGAGCAGGAAGGGCAGCAGCAGCAGACACAGGAGTGGCGTAGCAGAAGCAACGACAGCGGGGAGCCCAGCAGAGGCACTCCGCTAGCCAGTGGAGTGGGAGGAGGCGACGTGAGGGGGAGGAGACATGTGTGAACGTCAGTGAGCGTGTGAGTGGTTGTCAGTGCGTGTGGAGTGGGTGTGTGATCGTGTGAGTGTGTGTTAGTGTGTGTGTGCGCGCCTGTGAGTGAGTGTGTGTGAGCACCTGTGGGTGAGTGCGAGAGAACGTGAGTGCGTGTGAATGCATGTGAGTGGGTGTGAATGTGAGAGTGTGAGTGAATGAGTGTGAGTGGGTGTGAGATGGAGGCGACGTAAGGAAGGCAACGGGAGGAGGAGGTGGGGCTGTAGATGGATGGTGTTGGTGCCACATGTGCTCTTCCCCAACACCACTGCACACATTCCCATCACACATGCCCAGCACACATTCCCACAACACATGCCCAGCACACATTCCCACAACACATGCCCAGCACACATTCCCACAACACATGCCCAGCACACATTCCCACAACACATGCCCAGCACACATTCCCACAACACATGCCCAGCACACATTCCCACAACACATGCCCAGCACACATTCCCACAACACATGCCCAGCACACATTCCCACAACACATGCCCAGCACACATTCCCACAACACATGCCCAGCACACATTCCCACAACACATGCCCAGCACACATTCCCACAACACATGCCCAGCACACATGCACTTCACACATGCAGGGAACTTAGCCAGGTTCAGCAGCCACTCGCCCAATTCTCAAGCTGCTTTCTGCTAGTCACTTTCCGCTCGTCACCTTCCGCTCGTCTCGTTCACCTCACCGATTGTCAGTCGTCCTTCACCTCTCCGGTCGTCGTCTTGCTCTCGCCGCTAAGGCAACCACGGCAGCAGCAGCACCGATTGCCACTCTCTGTGGGAGGGAGGAAGTGCATGGGAAGAAGAGCTGCGATCGCCGAGACAAGGAAGCAGCAAGAAGGAGCAAAATGGTCCAGTGTGCCGGCATCCCACATCCTCTCCCCCCTCTCCGCCCCCCCCCCTCTGTCTCCTCTCCCCAATACCCAAACCCTCCTCTCAAAGTCCCCCTCTAGAACCTAAACCCCCCTGCCCAATCACTCCCCCCCTTTTCCTCCCCTCTCCAACCGGTGCTGCATCTAGGCGGTGTACAGCCAGCCACGTGGGAGCGCGTCGCTGGTCGCCTTGAGCACACTCAGTAGCGGGCCCATTTCGTCTCCACGCCCCGTGGCCCGTAGCAACGCGTAGGGTTGGGGGAAAGCGGGTGGAACGAGGAGGGGAGGAGATGCAGGGGAGCAGGGAAGCTGGTGCTGCTGGGATCATATCCTCCCCGCATCAGAGGGTGTCACGAAGCAGGCATGAAGAACCAGGCAGTGCCCACAGAACCACGACACGTTCCGGCTGTGCTGAGTGCAATGAAATGCAAGTTACTTCCAGATCTGGCTGAAAAATATGCACCTGAGAATCATCTTGTTCAAAGCCAATGCATTAGATTGTCCACAAATGGTGCTACTCATCGGAAACACTTGAATGCATGATTGGTGGTGATGGCAGCAGACAAATAACTTGGTAAATGTAGATTCAGTTTGGCTGGTGCGAGTGAGTCGGTGAGCAAACGCGAGTGACTGTGAGTGTGAGTAAGAGTGTGACGGTGATAGTCAGAGTGGGAGGAACAGATGAGAGGCGATAGAAGAGGGGGGGACGGGGGTGAGAAGGAGGGGAGGCGAGGAGGGAGAGGAGGAGAGAAGAGCAGGGTGATGGCGTTGATGCACTCCAGTGATGGGATCTGCAGATTCGCTGCGAGGCCGTCCATCTGCTGCCGCGTCCGCTGGGCAGGGCGGCCACACCAACTGTTTGGTGGGCAGTGGGCGGTATGGAAGGCAAGGAGATGCGCACGGTGAGAACGGAAGAGGAACCGGATTAGTGAAGCAGCCGCGAGCAATGATCCGCTGGGCACACAGCAAAGGTGAGCAGAACAGCACGCAAGTGAACACAACAGGGAAGGGAAGGGGAGGGGAGAGGGGGGGGAAGGGAGGGTACGTGAAGGGGAGCGGAAGGAAGGAGGAGGGGATGGGAGGAGAGGGGAAGGGAGGGGATGGGAGGGGAGGGTGTTCCGTCCCCACACATGAGCTGTCCACCCCACGCACCCCGCACGCACCCACGTGTCCCCGCCTCCTTGCTCGCCTGCAGCAAGGGAGGCCGTGGCAAGGGAAGGGGAGGCGGCGGCAAGAGGGGAGGCGGCAAGGGAGGGGGTGGAAAGCGACGCGGCGGCAAGGAGGTGCTCCCCCGTGCGCTTGATGGGTGCGCTTGGTCCCGTTGCTCCCGCTCCTTCCGCTGCTGCCTGTGCACATGCCATGCAGGCTACAGGGAGGAACAAGGGGAAGGGGGCGATGAATGAGACGGAGAGACGGAAAGATGCAGAGGAAACAGTGTACGACGGAGGAGAAGGGAACAACAGGAAAAGGACATTTGCAGAAGCAAAAGGCTCTGTCGTGCCTCCGACTGTGCAGAGTCGTTCATCCCTGCGTTGGGGAGTCAACACCCTCTCACCCTTCCAGCACGTCCCCCTGGCAACCGCAGAACAGTGGAGTGGAGTTTTCCGGCTGATGTTCATGATTGACTCCCCAACGCAGGTGGATGAACGCAGGTTGGAAGATGCGAAGCTGCTACTTCCTCTTGCCGCTCTGCCCCTCGCAATGCCTTGCACACGAGACAGCGTCCTGGTGAAGGAAGGAAAACACAGCAAGGTAGAGGCCGACAGAGAAGGAACGACAGAAGGAAGTGCAGGAAAGAAGAACGAGAGGAAGCATTAGCAGATAGAACACTACAAACTGATGTTGGAGAAAAGCACGGTGACTCGCTAGGCGGCGCTGTGCCAGACTCCTAATGATCCCCACCCCCCCCCCCCCCCCCCCCCCCTTCCCCACCCTCCGTTGGGGGCTCCAAGTACCCCCCGCATGGTGTTGCGTTGCAGCCCATAGCGTGGTTGCTCCAGCCAAAGGATCATCGCAAAACTGCTCGTCCAACCATCGGCTCACGCACCACTCAATCTCAGAGTTCAGTAGAAAGAAGTGCATGGAAACGAACAAGGGAAGGCACCAGAGCGTGCGTGTGGGCGGAGATAGAGCAGCGAACAGAGCGACTCCCTACGCGGGCTGTGGTAGACGCCTAAGTAGCTGCCTCCAATGGCCTGGCAGCATGGGAGTACCCTTGGCGTGGTCACTGCAGGCCGTGGAGTGGGCGATCCGCTGTTGGGAAGACTCACAGCCGCACAGCGCATCACCTCTACTCTCAACTTGCGAGTCAGCGCCTCGCAGTGTCCCGCGCTGCTCCATCGCACTGCTCGGTGGCTCAATCGCGGTCAGGTCTACTCGAAACAAAAGTGCAACACGACAGATAGTCTACATGTGAAACCTCGAAACTAGCAACTCCGCAAGTCAACGGATCCGGGGATGGAGATAACAGCGGGGAGGACAGGGTTGCGGGGATGGTACGGCCGAGCGGAGCACGAAAGGACGGATGCATAGAGAAACGGAAAGCATAGCTTAACGCAATATTACGATCGTAACCATGATCATATACCCCGGTCCCTTAAAACGGAATGGATAGGACTGTGAGGAAAAGTCAAAACGAGCTAACGCAAAATGTGAGGACGCGTCACCCCTTACAATTTTGCATGATCGATCGTAAAAAAACGATCGTCCACCGCGCTTGAAACCTGCTGAAACCTGCTTGATAACAGATTTTTATCACGCATACACCAGCGGCAGCCCCGACAAATCTAGCCCTTCATGTCTAGATGTGCGCAAAGGTGAAGAGAGTGGGGGCAGGGAAGGGGGAAGGGAGGGGGTTCAGGGAACCATACAACTCCAACATACCAGTCCCAGCTGCCTAGCGGCCGCCACCCACCCATGCCCAAGCCATGCCCAAGCCACGCCTAAGCCATGCCCAACCCATGCCCAAGCCACGGCCAAGCCACACCCCAATACCGAGTCCGCTCACCCCACAGCATGTAGTATTTCTTGCGTTTCACAGCCTCCTCCTTGTACGCCTCCTTCAACTTCGCATGCTTCGCAAAGTTTTGCTCCATCTCCTATGAGACACGTGCGGAAAAAGAGATTCAAATCAGAAACCATGCTATTTTATCTCCGCCCGTCGCATCTCCTCCAGATGCTCCGACTTTGCCTCTTTCTCCCTTTGACCTCCCACATAACAGTTAACCCACACATGACAACACTCACCGCCTTCATCCCCCTCAGTTCCTCCAGCTCCTTGGAAAGCGCCTACAGCTGCGTCTGCAGCTGCGCCACCTTCTCCTTCACCTCCTCCCTCAACTGGGCCTCTGCCGCCCGTCTCGCCTCCATATACTTGGAAACCACCACTAGCTGCTCTGCTTGCGCTACCTTCTTCTTCACCTCCTCCGTCATCTTGGCCTCTTCCGCCTGACTCTCCACCAATTGCTGCTCAGCGGTCTCTAGCCTGGCCGCCAGCTCATCCCACTCTGCTGACGAGTGCAGATTTAGCGGGGCATGTGCCGCCCGGCTCTCCTCCAGCTGTAGCACTGCGGTCGCCAGCCTGGCTGCAGCCCGTTCCCCTCTGCAGTCGAGTGCTGTTCCAACGTTTTGATCTGGCGAAGAGTATGGAGAGAAGGGAGATGCGTGGGGATGTGAGGACATGTGGGGGAGGAAGGAGTGGGACGCAGTGAGGATGGGTTGAAGCAGTTTCAAATATTGGAGTGCAACTGATGGGACGGGCTGGCAGCTAGTCTGGCGACCGCCATGCAGCAACTGGAGGACAGCCGGGCGACAAATGCCCAGTTGAGGAAGGAGGTGAAGGGGAACGAGGCGCAGTCACGTCTTTTCTGCTTGTCATCCTACTCTCTTGTCCCGCTATTTCCACCTATTTTCTGCTTCTCTACCTGTTATTATCTCCATGCTTGCACTTCTTTCGGCTTCTCTGCCTGCTATAAGTCCTCTTGTTTTTTTTTCCTCTCACTCCACTTCTCCTCCCATTCTCTGGCCGCTGATTCCTCGCCATTTGCACATGCAGCTGAAGGCGGTGGGCAGGCGAGCACAGGAGCAGGCGCAGGGATGCCGTGTGATGCGAACCCCCTCTCGACTTTTCCTTTGCGCCCCCATGCCTCACAGGCGGAGGAGCAGGTACAGGCAGCTATGCGGGAGAAGCAAGCCCTGGAGCAGCGCCTGGAGAACTTGAAGCTCTCAACGGCCGACCAAGTGAGCTTTTTTTTCCACCTGAGGCTCTGGCATCAGGTCAAACCTAGCGGAGATGTCGGATGGGCATGCCTCAGAGCAGTAGCTCGCGCCAACATCTGATACGCCAACATCTGGACTAGGAGTGCGTACAACCGTTCTGTTTTTTTTTTTTTTTTTTTTTTTTTTTTTTCGGTTTTTTTTTTTTTTTTTTCGTGAAAAGCAAGGTTTCTTTCTCTCCCTCCTCCTCCTAGTCCTACCTCCTCCGAGAAACCTTGCTTTTCATGAAAAAGAAAAATGCAGAAAGGTTGCACGCACTCCTAGTCCAGATGCTGGCGTTTCAGATGCTGACGCAAGCTACTGCTCCAAGGCATGCCCATCCGATATCGCCGCTAGGTTTGACTTGAGGCCAGTGCCTCAGGTGGGAAAAAATGCTCACCTGGTCGGCCGTTGAGAGCTTCAAGTTCTCCAGGCGCTGCTCCAGGGCTTGCTTCTCCCGCACAGCTGCCTGCACCTGCTCCTCCGCCTGTGAGGCATGTGAGCGCAGAGGAAAAGTCGAGAGGGGGTTCGCATTACACGGCATCCCTGCGCCTGCTCCTGTGCTCGCCTGCCCACCGCCTTCAGCTGCATGTGCAAATGGCGAGGAATGAGCGGCCATGGAGTGGGAGGAGAAGTGGAGTGGGAGGGAAAAAAAAGGAAGACTTATAGCAGGCGGAGAAGCGGAAAAGAAGTGGAAACATGGGGATAATAGCAGGTAGAGTAGCGAAAAATAAGTGGAATAGTGGGACAAGGGAGCAAGCAGAGAAGCAGAAAAGACGTGACTGAAGGCGGTGGGTAGTCGACTCCTGCCTCGCCCAACTCACAACCCGCACTTATATTGGTTGAGCCTCTTGCAGAACATCGATGATGACCATGATTTGAAGGACAACAAGGGTGCACGCATCAAAAGCACCCACAGCGTACAACCCCCTTAGATAATCCTTTCTCTCTTGCACATAAGATTTCTCCACAAGCACAGGGCCATCAGCTGCACCCCACACTCCCCACCCGACCTACATCGTACTTGCCATGCTACATGCGCTCTACTACACCCCACCCAACCCCACCTGCATGAGTTGCGGCGCCACAGTGTGGTACTTGAGCGGGCCGGGGAAATCGCGCACTGTCAGCTGCACCTCGCCCTCCCTCCCTGGACTGGGAGCCGGGAACATTATCGACACCTGCCATGGTGCAAAGCGGTGGCGAGAGGTGGAGAGGGGAGGAGAGGGGTTAACAGGGGGGTGTGTGAGAATGTGGGGACTGCAGTTAAAGGGGACGATGGGACACGTATGCAAGGTGTGAGATGAGAGCAGTGACTCAGCATAGTATGGGATGGCGTAGCTGGCATGGGTGTGCGACACAGGGCTCACATGCACACAGCACCAACATGCACACACAACACTCACATGCACACAGCACTCGCACACAGCACTCACAGGCACAAACATAATCACGTGGGGGAACTTGGCAATTTTGAGCCGAGCAACGACTTTCTTCGTGCCAAAGTGCTCCCCACCACCTTCCGCTCCGCAAAGACGCTCTCGTGTCACCACCTCTGCAGTTGGCGCCGCAAACTGCCGCGCTGCTGCCACAAACTGGGACAGAGAGGAGACAGGGGGAGAAGAGGGCGAGCGTGTATGGAGATGTGACGTGGTGCCAGCACGATCATGCGGAATTCAGTCTGGCACGGGACAAGAGCAGCGCCCTTCTAGCTTATTGCGCACGTGCACACGAGCTGCACCCCAAACCATCCCAACCCCACCTGCATGAGCTGCGGCACCACAGTGTGGTAGACACTAGAGTGGAAAGGGGAGTGGCAAAGAGGGGAGGAAACAAGAATTGGGAGAGGAAGGTGATGTAATCTAGGGAAGAGTTTGAGACAGTGGTGGACGGAAGGAGGGAGTGGTGCTGTCCGGTGCTGGAGGGTGCAGTGCGGGGAGGTGGAGTTTGAGGGTGCGCCAGATGGTGCAAGTGTGAGGGGAGGTGGCGTGGGGATCCCAGGGGGTGGCACACGCAGTGAGGAAGCGAAGGGAGTGGAGTTGAGGGAGCGAAAGGAGCAAGCGACAGCAGAATAACGGGGTGACAGAAAAACAAGTGGCAACCAACCTCGCGAGGTGACCTGTGAGCGAGAGGGAAGAGCACGATCAGGCCAAGAAAATAAGGTACGGTTTTGGCAGGTTAGCAAGGCACGAGCAGCACGGTAAGCTGCAGCGTATGCAGCACCGTATGCAAAGCTCATGAATAGCAGGTTTGAGGCGCCTCAAAGCTCACGAACAACAGATTCGAAGCGCCCCCCAACTCGTCTACGTGGCACCGCACCTGTCGTAAATGGCATTGTATTTGGCGCTGATCTGCTTCCACGTATGGATGGAAGTGTGCGGTTGAGTGTTGCCCTGGGAATGCTGCTTTTTGCGAGTGCAGGCAACAAAAGGACGAAGCGGAGGAGTAAAAGTCACTCAGCGGAAACATACACAACGTGTTGCTGGCGGGGGGAAAGGGGGAAGGTAGGTTATACCGTATAGCTGCTTGGGCAAAGAAGAGGAGATGAGGAGATGGGGAGATGGAGAGCCGCACAGCAAGGTGAGTATTTCCTTCGGCTCGCATCTCGTCCACTGCGCCCCTTTTCCTCCCCGCCGCCCCCTCGTCCATCGCGGGCGGCTCGGGTAGGTCGAGTCTGCTTTAGCAACGCTCTCGCCCACCAACGCCGCCGGTCGCACCTTCACCAGCACGCATGACGCGCGGACAGGAATAGAGAGAAGGAGCACGTGGCATGCGGGGATGCGATCGCGGTTCTTGCTCCTCACGCCATCACGCACGCCCTCCAATTCCGCCGCTCACGCACCATCTCGCGCAAGAAGCCTGCTGGGTTGGTAAAAACAAGTACGTACATTGTTCAGGCTAGGTGCGTACTGTCTATCTGCCGTGAACAATTTTGGGATGAGTTGCGACAGCGGCGTCGCCAGGCCCATTCTTTCCGCCATTCGCGCAGCTGCGCGCAGGCGGAGAGCGCGCGCGCGAGCAGCATCGACACCGTACGGGCGGAATCTGTGAACCACGTTCAAGGCGGGTATGGCGGGGTAAGGAGCAGTAAGGTGGGGGTTTAGGGACAGATGACGGCGGTGGCCACATGCAGGCAGTAGAGGCTGGGAGAGGAGGGAGGCGGATGGAGAAGGATAGGCTTAGGGGGTTCATAGAACGGGGAAGGGGGGGGGTGGCAAAGGGATATAAGGAGGGATAAGGAGGGGTTGAGGGTACGGAGGGGTAAGGAGGGCGCCAAGGGACGGATGAAGGGTGTGGTCAAACACAGGGGGTAAAGGGGGTTGGGAGAACGGGAGGAGGAATGGAGACGAAACATTAGGGGAGGACGAGGGAGGGGGGGATGGGGAGGGATGGGTAATAAGGAGGGTGCGGGGTTTAATAGACAGACGGGCAAGGGATGGGGAAGGGAAGATGGCGGTCAGATGCATGCGATAGCAGGACGGTGGACGGTGTAGGACAGAGAAGTGAGGGAGGAGCAAAAATATTGCTGGTGGAGGGTTGCAGTGGCATGGGGTGGGAGTGTGGCTCACAGCAGTTGAGTGTGTGGCTTACAGCATTGAAGGTTGGTGAACTTGCTGCAGGAATCGGGAGGCGGGCCTTGGAAGAAGTGGTTATTGCCCAGGTCGCAGGTGGGGAGAGAGAGAGAGAGAGAGAGAGAATGGGGGGTTTCAAGTTTAGGGTTGATGGAGGGATGGAGTATAGATGGGTGAGTGAGCAAAGGAGAGAGCGACCGAGATTCGAAAAAGAAAAAAGAAGAAGAAGAAAAGAAGAAAAAAAAAAGAGGCAGTATACACTGCAACACGCGTGCAAATCAGGTCAAGTCAACTCAAGTCAGCCCAAGCCAGCGCACACACACACGCAAGTCAACCCGCGCTGGTGACCACACCAAGTTCTTAGCGAAGCTGGCCGGCCAAGAACTTGGTTCTGCCTGAGACCGACTAAGGAGAGGCGAAAGAGGGTAGAGAGGCCCGAAGGAGGGACCCTGTGATGCGGTTCATGTCAGTCCGGATGCCCTCAGGGGGGGTGGCAGGAAGAGGGGTTGAGGGGGAGAAAGGGGGTGTTGGCATCGCTGGGAGCAAGGTTCAAAAATACGGTTTTTGAAAAATACGGTTCGTTTTTTACGGTGGATTTTCAAAAATACGGCCGTTATTTTGTTTAAGAACTCTGTTCACCCAGAAAAAAAAAAAAAAAAAAAGGGAAAACAAGGTCAAATACATTCTCAATCATGCCAACAGCCACACACACACAATTTCTGGTTCAATTTGGTCCCATAAAGTAGCCGTTTTTTTAATCAAACAGATAGCGCCAGGTGAGGGCAACAGAAAGGTTGTCAGCGGCGGTGGGGAACGGGAAGGAGCAGAGCATGAGTGGCAAATGAGGGAGCTAATTCTGGAGAGTTTTAATAATAGGGGAACTGGAAGGAGCAGAGGAATGAGTGCCGAATACGAAAGCAGTTTGAAAGGGCGTCTCAAAAAGAGGAGAATCAAAAGATGCAGCAAAATGAGTGACAGATAAGGAAGTCCCAGTAATATACAGGTGATTTAAGGCTTACAAGCAAGGCAGCCGCAGGGGACCAGCCACCTCATTGCCACTCAAGTCCACCCAATCCAGCCGCTGCAGCACCGTCATCTTAACAAATCTCCTCCCTTCCCCAATATAAACCAAGGCTCACAGGTAACTAAGCCAGCCTTACAGGTGTTTATGGCTTAGAAGCATGGCAGCAGCAGGAGAGACAACAGCACCAGCCACCTCAACCCCTCTCAAGTTCACCCGCCGTCATTCTAACCAACCCCCTCCCTCTGCCCCCCCAATATAAGCCCAGTCTTACAGGTGCTTGAGGTTCGGAAGCAGGGCAGCAGCAGGAGAACAACAATACCAGCTCCAACTGCTTCAGCGCGCCGTCATCCTCCCCATCAGCGACCCCGTCACCCCCCTCCCCCCCTACAGCCGCCGCTACAGCCTGCTGGCCGTCGCCCCGGGCGTCCAGATGCTGCGGTCAGGATGCGTTGGGGACTAATAGGGGATTGGGCATGTCGCTGGTGGTGGGTTGAAAGAGAGAGGGGGAGTGGGAGGCGCAGGTGAGAGTGTTCATGGTCAACTGGGTGGGGAGGGAGGGAGATGGAGCCTGGGGGGAGGCGAAAAGGGTGGGGAGCCAGCCAAGAGAAGGGGGGAAGAGGTAGAGAACGTGCATGCACTCTTGGTGGCCAGCTGCTGCGCTACAGCTGCCGCCGTGCCTAGGATGCGTAGATGATGCTAAAAGGGGGCTGGGCATGTCACTGGTGGTGGGGGTGGGGGAGGGTGGCAACATCTCAGAACAGGGAGCGAAGCGAGGCCCAGCGAAGGGAAGGGAAGGGGGGGGGAGCGGGAAATGACAGTGATTTTGATTTGAGACGCCTTAAGAAAAGATGATGTCAGTGCATGCATTAGTTAAGTGCTCACCTGTGACCACCACCACACCAACACAAGGGATGCGAACGGCGAGGGAAGGGAAGGGCGGGGAGGGGAAGGGTGAGGACGATTGGTACAGGATAGAGACCCATAAACCATCCCCCATCGCACATCATCCTTCCCCCATTCCCCATCCCCATCCCCCATTCCCCATCCCCCATCCCCCATCCCCCATACCCCATACATACCCCATGTTCCATGCCCCATCATCCATCACCCATTGGCCTGACCATTACCCTGAGCGTGGCGGGATGCAATGTGGACCTGCTCTCGCCCACACCACACCACACCACACCACACCACACCACAGGCACATGGCATGCCTTCGTGGCGACAGGAGAGCCAAGTAGCGCGCGAGAGTGGCGAGTGTGGGCGGTGGCAGCGGCACGTGGAGCCGCTGTGGTCGCAATAGACGGAAAGGGGCGAGAGGGCAGCAGGGGTTCCACCAGCGCCTCTAGCCGCGGCACGCCGAGCCTGCAGGGGAAAGGGGGACGGGGAGGGGCAGAGGCGCACGAGCACAGGGAGCAGGGGGGTCAAGAAGGGTGGCGTGGGGGACGGGTAGGGGGGTGGGCGGGAGGACGGGAGGAAAAAGGGAGGGGAAGAGGGTGTGCGTGGAGGGATGCGGGATCATGCCATGCCATGCCATGCCATGCCATGCCGAGCAATGCTGTGCCCTGCAATGCCGTGCCATCCCATGTCAGGAGAGGGAGCAGAGGGGACAGGTTGGCAAGTGGGGAGAGGGAGCAAGGGGAAGAGAGGAAGGATCTGAAGCACTTGAATCGATGCTCATTGAATGTAAAGCATCTAGCATGAAAACAAATATTGCTTTGGTGGCTGAGGGGGGAGAAAGGGGAGCATGCAGGCATATACAGGAAATGACAATAGCGTTGAATGGAGGAAACATGATGATTGGGTGGAGGGGGGGAGAACGCCTTGTGCGCAAGTGGGCGTGTGGGTGGCGGCAACAGCGCAGCGCAAGTGCAAGGCGGAATGGAATGGGGGGCGTTGGTGGAGGGCGGTGGTGTGAGGGACGAGAGGGGGGAGAGCGGGCAGGTCTGAACACCCATGGCCTCCTGGTAACATCGCCTCCAGTTAACGTCGCTAAACGTTGCACACACCTGCGGTTACTCCGCGCACCCACCACCCACCAGCCATCACCCGTGACCCATCAGCCATCACCCGTGACCCATCAGCCATCAGCCATCACCCACCATGAGCCATCAAGCATCAGGCAGCACCCACCAGCATGCATGGGCCATGAGCCATGTGGCTAGTCCCTGGCGCCATGAGGCATGCACGAGGCATGAACGCCCTCAGGCTGAGCACCCCGCGACCAGCACACTCACACCCACACCCACCCGCACCCACTCGAACCCACTCGCACCCACTCGCACACTCGTTGGAGTTGGAGGCAAACATGAAGGGGTTCGTGACAAACTTAAGTACTCACCCGTGACCCCAAACACACCAACACCATTCTTGGAAAAGCAAAAGTTTGTGGCAAACAGAATGAGTTTGATGCGCAAGTGTTGGTTTGAATTCACCATTTCCTCATGGCTACCATCACCCACCATCCATCGCCCACCTCCCATCGCCCACCACCCACCATGCATGGGCCTTGACCAATGTGGCCAGTCCCTGGCGCCATGAGGGATGCACGAGGCATGTGCTCAGCGGAGCACCCCACGACCAGCACACTCGCACCCACTCTCACCCACTTGCATGCCCCATCGCAGCTTCACACCTGCAGGAGAGAGAGGGGCGGGCGAGGAGGGGAAGGGTGAGGGAGGGAAGGGTATGAGCTTGACTGGCGGGCCGAAACTTGGGGGACAGAACGGGGGGGGGAGGAGGGTGGGGTTGCTTGTGTGCATTCGCAATTTTGTTTCGTGGAACATGTGTAAGCCACGGAACAAACAAAGAAAACTCGTTGGTCATGGCTCATAAGACAACGAATGTGAAGGGCGAGGGAAGGGAAAGGCGGGGAGGGGAAGGCGAGGACGACTGGCACATGAGAGTGGTACAGGAGAGAGACCCACCATCCATCCCCCTTGCCCCATCCCCCTTCCCCCATACCCTATCCCCCATCGGCCATCCCCCACGCCCCATCCCTTGTCCCAGATCACCCATCACCCTTCCTTCTCCCATGGCCTTGCCATGGCGGCGGGTGGGCATGTGGCCTCCACTCGCTCCCGTCCCTGTGCCTTGGCAGCCCACCTGCCTGCCCACACCAGCCATGCTCCATGCTCCCCACCTGTCCCTTCACCACTGCGTGCACCAGCAATCGCCTCCTGCTGCAGCTCAAGTGCGGGGAGATGACATGAGTGGACCGCATCCAAGTTCCAGACTTGCGGTGGGCGGCCATGAGGATGCGGTCCTTGGCGCTCCTCACCTCGGCTCCAGCTGCGCTAGCCTAGCCCCACCGCGCGCTGCCCGTTCACCGGGTTGGCGAGGTCTGCCCCGCTGAAGCCCGGCGTGCCGCGCGCTACCACTGACACGTCCGCGTCGTCCGCTTGGGGGGATCTGGGAGGGGGGGGGAAGGGAAGAGGAGAGCGAAAGGGCGTGATGGGGTTTGGGGAGTGAGAGGGAGGAGAGGAGGGAGGAAATGAAGGTGTGCATAGTCAGCTGAATGTGCTGCAGCACACTACCCTGCACACATGCATGTAGCACCCATGCATGCATCACCCATGCATGCAGCACCCACGGCCACCGCACTGCACCTTGCGCAACTGATGCTGGAGAATCTGCCTGCGCCCCTCCACATCGGAGTTAGGCACGATCACGTGGCGGTCGAACCGGCCCAGCCCGGCACGACCACGTGTTCAGTAGCTGGTCCTTGGGGTTACGGCTCGGCTCCCACCTATCGCGTCTGTCTCGGCGAGAGGCGGAGTGGGGAGGGAAGTGCGCATGTGAGAAGGGTGGGGAGAGGCGGGGTGGGGAGGGAAAAATTCGGCCCGAAGCTCCCTCTTTGCAATGGCCACTACGGGCTCATCGCGGACCTGCAGGCACGGCACGCTAGGATCGGAGAACGATGCTCGGAGCCCGAGGCTGAAAACCGTCTAGATTGGAGAGTAGGGCAGCGCGCTCCCACTTCGGTCAGCAGGTGCAAACAACGCTCATCCAGCGCAGCACACAAGGGAGTGAGAGGTTGAGAGCACGTGGCGGTCACAAAGCACAGTGCACTCACTTGGATGGCCAAAAACTGTGCGCCCAGAGTAGCGCTGTGCAATAGCTTGCCTCGTTGCACCACTGGAATGGCCTCAGCCTGCTTGCTCCGGGCAGCAGAGGCACACGAGGGACCCAGGGGCACGTGTCAGAGAGGAGGCAGCTACAACGACAGCACTTTCCCCACACCCTTCCAGCCCTACACGCCTGGAGCACCCTTCCAGCCCTACACGCCTGGAGCACCCTTCCAGCCCTACACGCCTGGAGCACCCTTCCAGCCCTACACGCCTGGAGCACGGCATACCTGCTCGGGGTTGTGCACGCCTGGCAGCGAGGTGCTTTCTCGCAGGGCATATGTGGGCATCCGTGCAGCACACTCACGGCAAGGCAGGGTATGGAAAGGCAAGGCAAGGAAAGGCACGCCCTCACTCACAGCAGCTACGTGCTTCTCTCACCCACGCCCGGCCCAAAGTCCACCAGGCGCTGCCGGCTGTGTGCTGGCAGCTGCAGGCGCTGCCCCGGCAAGGAGAAAAGGGGGGGGGGGGGGCGGTGGCACAGCAGCGGCAGCAGCTAAGCCGCCATCAGTGGCGCAAGGAGACAGGTGCAGGGCAGGGCCACCATGTGAGTCAGTAGAGCAGAGAATGGCACGCTGTTGGTGCTCTCATGCCCCACATGCACGCGCTGCCATGCCACAGACAAAGCGTGCAGTATGGCACCATGGCAGCATGGCAGCATCAAGCACACAACCCATGGTCCATGTCCCCACAACACCCCATGTCATCGCTACTCTCCCACGCCATGTATCCTCCAACGTTCCATCTGGCGCCCATCTTTTCCCCACCCCTCTCCCCTGAGCGCACGAACAGTTGCTTGCTGGCGCCCGGGTAGATGCCGGCGGTGGTGCTGGCGGGCACACCTGCCGCCACCGCAGCCCCGTGCAGCGAGCGTGCGTTGCCAGCGATCGCCACGTCGCCACACACGTCCACGTAGGGCGACTGGGGGGAGGGGGGGGGGGGAGGGGGGTAAGGGGTGGGGAAGGGGGCGAGAGGGAGGGCTTTTGAGGCGCCTCAAACGTCGCAGCGAACGCCACGTCGCCACACACGGCAATGGGCAGAGAAGGACGATGGCGGTACCGCAGGGGGCAGGAGACGGGTAGAGCAGGGAGCGGTGATGCAGAGCGTGTGGGGGGGGCTGCAGAGTGTGTGGGGCGCAATGCAGGTGTGGGAGGGGAGAGAGGAGGAAGACACCCGAGAGGCAGGCCGCCCACCTTGGTGCGGATGGCGGCTTCCAAAACGGTGCAGTGCGGTTCTCGCTGGAAGGGCCCTGCACAGTGCACCACCGGTCGGCTCCTGCGAACCGGAGGGAGGAGAGGGGGAGAGGGAGGAATAGGAGGTGATGCAGGTCGGTTGGGGGGGAAGAAAGTTCAGGAAGTGAGAGAGGTACGGTAAAAAGGGGAAGGATGGGAGAGGGTGAGCGGGACAGCAGCAGAGGCAGTGGCAGAGAATGGCACGGAATGGCACGGAATGGCACGGGATGGCACGCAATGGCACGGAATGGCACGGAATGGCACAGAATGGCACGGAATGGCATGGAATGGCACGGAATGGAACGAAATGGAACGGAATGGGCCCCCCACCTCTCTCCCCCGCCCCCCACCCCATCCGCCGCCACCATGCCCGCCCCAGCAAGCCCCCCAACCCCCTTGCGCCCACGCCTGCGCCCATACCTGCGCCCATCCCTGCGCCCATCCCTGCGCCCATCCCTGCGCCCATCCCTGCGCCCATCCCTGCGCCCATCCCTGCACCCATACTTGCGCCCATCCCTGCGCCCATCTCTGCGCCCATCCCTGCGCCCATCCCTGCGCCCATCCCTGCGCCCATCCCTGCGCCCATCCCTGCGCCCATCCCTGCGCCCATCCCTGCGCCCATCCCTGCGCCCACTCCATACGCAGTGAGCACCATTCCCCCACCCATCCCCACGCCTCCGCCCATGCCCCCTCTGTTGGTGGGGCACTGGGATCGTCCCGAGTTGAGTGTGGGAGGGCTACAGGCGTGGCCTGGGAGGGTTATGGGTGTGCTACCCACCATACAAACATGCCCTTTTAACCCAGTCGGTAGCAGGCTGGGCCAACAAGTGGTATCAGAGCCAAAGGTCTCCGGTTCGAATCCCAGTGAGCGCCAGTGCCCAAACGAGCCCCAAGTGAGGGGGAGACGACCCCAGTGAGGGGGAGATTGTTGGTGGGGCACTGGGATCGTCCCGAGTTGAGTGTGGGAGGGCTACAGGCGTGGCCTGGGAGGGTTATGGGTGTGCTACCCACCATACAAACATGCCCTTTTAACCCAGTCGGTAGCAGGCTGGGCCAACAAGTGGTATCAGAGCCAAAGGTCTCCGGTTCGAATCCCAGTGTGCGCCAAGTGAGCGCCAGTGCCCAAACGAGCCCCAAGTGAGGGGGAGACGACCCCAGTGAGGGGGAGATTGTTGGTGGGGCACTGGGATCGTCCCGAGTTGAGTGTGGGAGGGCTACAGGCGTGGCCTGGGAGGGTTATGGGTGTGCTACCCACCATACAAACATGCCCTTTTAACCCAGTCGGTAGCAGGCTGGGCCAACACCCTCCCATGCCCATCCCCATGGCAATCCCACCACTGGAGGGCGGCTCCCATCGCTCCCAGCACTCCCATCGCTCCCTGCACTCCCATCGCTCCCTGCACTCCCAGTGCTCCCCCCAGCCCTCCCAGCGACCCCAGTCAACCCCCTCTCAGCGCTCCAAGCGCTACCAGCGACCCGAGTGATCGCCACACTGGACTTCTGCCGCCGCAGCGAGCGCACGCGCAGCAGCCCCGCAGCCCTGTCGCGCGCGCGCGGATCCGCGTCGATTTCAGGAGACCGTGACGAGCGTACTATCCGCGATGAAATGGTGGCGCGAGAGAGGAGTTGATATGTACAACATCGCAACTTTGAGGGTCCTGGCTGGCAAATTGCGTGTTCCATCAATTTTCGGGCTTCGTGATTTTCAAATTGCCCACTGTTTCCGAGGCGGTTCTGAATCCTGATCACCCGCGGATAGACTTTTGGACTTGACGCCGAAACGTTTTCGGACAAACAGCGCAAAACCCAGGCAGGCGAAGCGTGGGACTCGGTGGGTGAAATACGGTTCTAGGGTGTTTCAGAAATTTTCGAAGAAAAAAAAAAGTATAATTTTCCTGTTCTAAAAAAGTGTAAGCTGATTTTCTACATCCTACCAAATGTGATTGTTATAAATTTGCCGTTCAGCACAACCAAAACCACATTAAATGATTTTGACATAGTGGAATTTGCCAATCCCTTGATATTTTGCATAATTACAGTACATATAGGCATGTTCTTCTATTTGTCACCGTATCATAATAGTTGGTTTGGATAATGTTAGAAACTACAGGCAGGAGTGAATGCATCGAATGAGAGTTGGGTACAAGCATCAAACCCTAAAGGGGTTGTACCCCATATTGGCTACCCCACTACAGCCTACACAAATATAGCATGCATATAGTTTGACACACCCCCATAGGCAAAGTGGGGGAGAACAAAGGGTCACAAGACCAGTCAAGAAAAGCAAAGCAAGCTCAGGGTGGATCACGTCGTCACCACACACACTGAGCACAAGCAAAGGGCCACAAGGCCAGTTCACATGCAGAGACATATATGTAACAACAACAACATAGTGATCACTACCTAGCAAGAGCAAGCATGCAGGCATATATACATATATCACAGTACAAGCAGAGTCTACAGCAAGTGTGGAAACGTAGGCACAAGGCCTAACAAAGTACAAAAGCGCTGATGGTCACCAGACGGAAGTGCCTTGGTGAATATATCAGCAGTGTTGGCCTGAGTGGCCACGTGAGCAAGACGAAGCTGACCACGCTGCTGCAACTCTCGAGCCAGGAAGTAACGTAGAGCGATGTGCTTCGTTCTGTGCTCCAGTCTGTGCTCCTGACACAAGGCAATGGCGGCCTTGTTGTCGACGTACAGAATTGGAGGAGAACGAGGCCTCTCTCCCAAGTCAGTCAGCAGGTAGGTGAGCCAGCGTAACTCCTGTGCAGCCATGGCTGTGGCGTAGATCTCAGCCTCACAACTGGAGCCGAGAACAGAAGAGGAGCGAGTAGACCGCCAAGAAACTGAGCCAGAGCCAAGGCTGAAGGTGTAACCCTGTGACGACCGCTGCGTAGCCAGGTCGTCAACCCAAGAAGCGTCTGAGTGCCCAGTGAGGACAACTGGACTCCGCCCTCCAAGCACGAGCCCCATGCCCGATGTACTGCACAAGTAGCGTAGTACCCTCTTCGCAACATCCATGTGCACCTTTCGGTGCCGACCAGGAGCCACGTAGCGAGCCAGAAGGCCAAGAGGGTACGCAAGGTCAGGACGAGTGCAGGTCATCAGGTACATGAGGCAGTCCACAAGCTCTGGGTAAGGACCACTCGGCTCTACGGACTCGTCCGAAGGTGGAGCTGAGAGCGAGTGACCTGTAGCCAGAGGAGTGGATTGTGGCGAGGACCAGGTGAAGCCGAAGCGCTGAAGGACCTGCTGCACCATGTGTGACTGAGTCAGTGTGATGGTGCGGCGTGCTCGGTCCCGGGTGATCTGCAAGCCAAGGTAACTGCGCAGCTCACCCAGGTCTGTGCACGTGTGTCTCTTCTGCAGCTCCGACTTCACCAGGGCGAGAGCCTCAGTGTCAGCAGTGGCAAAGACCAAGTCGTCGACGTACACGAGGATGTAGAACGGCGGCAGCGAAGTGTCGGTGCGCAGAAACAACGACGGGTCAGCTGTTGAAGGAGCAAACCCAAGTGTCGCAAGTGTAGTCCTCAGTGTGTCGTGCCACTCACGAGGCGCCTGGCGGAGACCGTAGACTGGCCGCTGGAGGCTCCACTGGGTACCAGGAGGGAACGTCCCAGTGAAGCCAAGTGGGCGGCGCAGCCAGATCTCCTCGTGCAGGCTACCCTGTAAGAAGGCTGTGCTAAAGTCCAGAGAGTGAAGCTCGTAGTCACGCTGAGCGGCAACGTGCTGCAGCACCCAAAGAGTGGTCATCTTCGGGGTGGGGGAGAAGGTCTGGAAGAAGTCAACTCCCTGTCGCTGACTAAAGCCTCGTGCAACGTAACGAGCCTTGAAGACAGGCGGAGAACCCGGCGGCCGCTTCACCCTGAAAATCCACATGCCATCGACGATGTTCGCCCCAGGGGGGGGAACCTCGTCGACGTAAGTGCCTGTGGACTTCCAGGATGCCATCTCTGCGTCCATGGCTGTCTGCCACTAAGAGGAGTAGGGACCCGCGATCGCCTCAGCGTAAGATCGCGGGGTAGGGATGTCTGGTGCATCCGGGTCTCCCTTAGGGGCAAGCAGCATGGCCACGAGATGAGGCGCAGCGGCCGCAAGACACTCAAGGTCCTCCTGTCTGTCCTCAAGGACGTCCGTGCCAAGAGCACACTCACCCCCGACGGACGGAGGACAGACAGACGCAGACTCAGCAACAAGACTAGCAGCGTAGTCTAGACGACAGGCAGCAGCAAAGTCCACAAGCTCAGCGACCAAGGCAGACGCAGTAGCAGACTCAAACGACGGGTCGGTGACAACAGTGGCTAACAGACGCGTGACAGTAGGGTGTATCGAGATGGTAGAACGAAAGAAAGAACAGAGAAGAGGGGTTGTACTAGCAGCATGCAAGGTACATATAGGAAACCCTAATTTGGGTTGTACTCGCTATAGAGTACCCCACTGCAGGCTAGACAATTACAACATTCTGACACATCCCCATAGCCAAAGTGGGGTGTAATCAGCGCAAATAACCAGTCATAGATCAAGTCCACAAATGCAAGTAAAGCTAGAGGCAGTCACAGAGGGCAAGTGAGGAGGAGGAGAGACTGTGAGGGGCGATCTGCTGCAGACACAACGGGCAACAGGAGCGGCGTGCACAGTGGCTACCGAGCGCACGAGGGCACCGGACTACGGGAGTATCTGGCTCCGCGGCTACGACGAGCACACACAGGAGCAACTGACCCACAGGCAACTGGCGAAGCAGGCTCGCTGGGCTACCGAAACGCGCGAGGGCATCCGGACTACTGGCGCTGCTGGCGTCACGACGGCTACTTCCACGCAACCTCCCCCGACCGTCCCACGCCCCTCTCACACACCCCCTGCTGACACCCTAGCTCCACTTCCACGGCACCCCCCTTAAACCCTAAACCTCGGCTCCCACACATCCACCCCCCTCAGCGGCAGCTGCAGCAGTGGGAGACGGAGGAGGAGGAGGAGCAGGGGACGGCGCACACACACGGCACCCCCAGAGCTGCCACCCCCACACTCCGCACCCCCAAACCCTAAAAACGGGCGGAACGGGGGAAGGAGCGCGGGGGACGGCGAGGGGGACGGCGCTCGGCCCCCAGAACGCGACCACGGGGCAGCGAGGGGCCGCGCGCGGCTCCCCAGGGCGGCACGACGGGAAATCGGGGCCGCGGGGGGTCGCGCGCGGCTCCCCAGGGCGGCACGACGGGAAATCGGGGCCGCGGGGGGTCGCGCGCGGCTCCCCAGGGCGGCACGACGGGAAATCGGGGCCGCGGGGGGTCGCGCGCGGCTCCCCAGGGCGGCACGACGGGAAATCGGGGCCGCGGGGGGTCGCGCGCGGCTCCCCAGGGCGGCACGACGGGAAAACGGGGCCGCGGGGGGTCGCGTGCGGCTCCCCAGGGCGACGGGATCGCGGGGCCGCGGGCGACGGGACCGGAGGGCCGCGGGCGACGGGATCGGGGGGCCGCGGGCGTCCCCCACGGTAGGAAACCGCCGTGCGCCTCGGTGCGCACGGCGGGGAGAAAACCGCCGCACGCCCCGAGCGCGCGGCGGGATGAAAATGTGAAGGTCGCGCGCCACGGGGCGCGCGACACAGAGTAGGGCAGCGGAAGCAGCAGTGGGGCCCACAGGCCAGGAGCGTGAACGCTC